TACAATATTGATCAAAACCTTACTTTGTTAATTTATGTGTTTTACTGTCTGTTGGGGTGCGTCGGTAGCATAGCGGTTAGGACTCTGGCCGACCATACACATCGTCCGGGGTTCGAAACCCCGGCCGACGCATTCCTTTACCTCACTAAGCCAGAAATAATGCTGGTGAAGAGGAAAGGTTGGGCATGAGGCTAGCAACCCCATCCTGTGAAATAAACACTGCTACAGAAACTTCAAGCCACTAGCTTGAAGCCCCAATGTTCCACTGGGGAACGTGAAGGATATAAAAAATCTGTCTGTTGGACGACAACAGTGAAAGACACAATACCTTCAACAGCAAATTAGCCCTTTTTTCTTTTTACATGGGATGGAACCAAATACATGCATGTAACATGTGAGGTATTTAGGAATGCATGATTTTGAAATAATGCAGAAGATCTGTAAGTCAGAGGGATGATTTTGTTTTAGTTGTGTTGTCTATCTAAGCTGGCTGATTTTGATGTGGTTGTGTTCTCTGAGCTGGATAGTTAATTTGCGAAGCTTTCATCACCCTACTGGGTGACATCTTCAGCGCATATTTCAATTTGACTGTAACCAAAATAAAATAAATAAATAAAATACGGTATCTACACAGAAAGTTTGTTCAACAGTTACTCTATGAGGCATTCTCCATATTTCCGTGATATACATTTATTAATACTGTCTCCACAAATTATTTAACTTTCTCTGTGCATGACTGAAACATAATTTTTTCTTTAACCTTATTTGATATTTAGTTACTGTAGCCAGGGCGATTGAATTAAAGCACAAACCTCATTTAATCTCCGCTCTGGCCAATGAAACTGCAAAGTTTTATGAAAAGTGTGGTAAGTTTTATAGTATTGTTCAAGTTGTTTTCTTATTGTAACATTTCCTATGCTAAATTGTTGTACAGCGAAAGGATTATGCAACCCGGCTTGATTTACTATGACTCTTGAATCAGAAAAGGTTCTTACTGAGAACTTCGTTCAGTGTAATTGATTTCATAAACACACTATTTACTTACAGCTTTTTTAAGAGGTTCAGTTTTCATGTACACCTGAGAGGGAAAAGATTTTTTCTCTACTGGTTTAATTCTCAGTACACTCAGTGGCGGTCTTTACTTCACTATGAACTTGTGATATGATTATGTCAGCTAAGACCTTCCATATTTTAAAATTAATTAAATTGTAAGATGACTATTTACACAGTAATTACAGCCTCTTAGCTTGCTACATATGTATGCGGGTAGGTAGACTTCATCCATTGCCTCGAAATGCTTTCGTATAGTCACTTGTTCACAGCCTATGCTTTTTAAGTTCTATTCACTGCCGTCATGCGACAAAGGGGTGTTCTTACAAAAAGTGAAGCGATTGGTGCAAATGTCCGACGATCATCATTGAACTGTTGGACATGGGATTGTGCTGAAAACATACTACCACTATTTTGATTGGGCACTAGTCAACAACTAGTGTAATGTGTCTAGTCCTATCTTTGGTGCAGATTGAATTCTGTTGTCAGTTAAGGTTGCAATGTGACCACCATGCTAAGTGGCTTACCACTACAGTGCACTATGAATTGTTGGTAGTAGATGGTTGGAGATGGGTAACTCAGGTTCAAATCTCACAAGGAGGTCGCAGATACGCTTTGCTGACTGATGAGTGCCAACCAGCAAGAAATCTAAGTCAAGCAAGGCTTCCTGTAGTCGATTGCCTCCAACTGTCTAATACATGCTACCATCTACGAACAGACTGAATCGGAATGTACATTTTTTGTGGATTATAACCCTTTCTAACGCTTTTTCGCTAGATTTGAAAGGAAGGGCAGTTGACTTGCTGGTTGTTTAAACAGCTGTATATCTAGCTCCACTGTCACACCTTCTACCAGCAGAACGACTTCATTTTCAAATCTTCACTTTAGGCATAAGGCGTTTACGCTATGTCAACAAGCATATCGTGTCTCACCACTAGGCAGTCGTACTTTTGGGCATGGTAAAACATATGAAAATGGTCACTACGGATAGCATAAGACTTTGAGTCACTGCAATATTCATGACTACTACTCTAAGACAGAAGCTGACGATTGGTTATATTTTTTCTAATATTCAAACTATTCGTCAACAGTGGGAAACGAGAAGACAGGGATATCCTGGACCGACGTGAAGAATCTAGAATACCTGGATTTCGCGCGTGGATGATTTATGTTTGATGTCACACAAAATTGAAGGCTTACAAGCGAAAACCGACAAACTGGTCGAAGAAGCAGCAAAGATAGGACTGCAGGTGAACATAGACAAGACGGAGGTTATGAAAATAACCAACCAACAACAACAGCAACATCCAGCGCCAATCACCATCAACGGAAGGGATTTGAAAGAGGTTACTTCATTGACTTGTCTAGGGAGCATTGTCTCAACTACAGGAGGAACGGACGAGGATATCAAATCGAGAATCGGGAAGGCGAGAAACACCTTTATCAACCTGAAACCAATCTGGAAATCTTCGTCACTCAGCATCAACAACAAAATCCGGACTTTCAATACAAACGACGTCAAAGCAGTCAGTTCTTCTATACGTATGGATCAGAAACTTGGCCAGTGTGTCACAAAGAATATTTCCAACAGCCTGTTGCAGACCTTTATCAACAACTGTCTTCGCTGGCTCTATACTGAAGATCAGATGGCCGGAAAGAATCACCAACAAGAAACTATGGGAACGAACAAAACAAGAACCAATCACTCAAAAAATATGCAGGAGAAAGTGGAGATGGATCGGGCACTCGCTGAGCTGAGGAGGCCACTGGGTGAAATCGCGCGTGAGGCCATAGCTCGAGTAGAACTCGAAAGGGAAGCGGTGAGTGCGACGTCCAAGGGTGACATGGAGGAGATCGTGTGAAGAGGAGCTGAAACAGTATGGACTAACATGGATGCAAGTGAAAAGTACAGCAGAAGACAGAAGCAAGTGGAGGCGTGTAGTTAAAGCCCTATGTTCCACTGAAACCCAAGGGAACAATAATAATAATAATAATAATAATTCGTCAGCTGTTATAATATTCTGAAACAGTTTCTTAAGTACACTTCATACAGTCAGATGAACACATTAGCTTCGTGTGTAGAGAACTCAGAGGATTTACGATAAGCAATACTGACAGAACTAGTCAGTCGGTCGGTTTTCGACACAGAACTTTGCACATATGTGCGGCAGTTCAAGTCGCCACACGACAGAACTAGTATGCCTTCAGTGGTTGAGTGGCGGTGGAACACTGACCAACTAAGCAATTATTCCGGGAAAATAAAAGACCAATTTAGCGAGGAAAATTTTCTTTATCGACGAAATCATCTTCAGAGTCGGCTGTACACAGTCGTATTTATATTTACCAGAAATGTATAGTGGTCTATTATCGAGTAATAAGGTTGTGGGGTGACATAATTGATGTAATTACTCGGAAGTGGCTTTAGAAGTAAAAAATAAAAGTTGTAAATTACGTGGTACTCAATGGTACAAAGTTAGAAATTTGATAAGGTTGAAATTGCTATTGAGTGAGAATAAAGGTAGTTGAGTGTCAATTTAACAAGTGTGAAGAGGGTGTGAAAATGTACGAAAGGAGCATATGAGAGTGGTAATAGTGAATTAATTATTAAAGCGAAAGCAAACGAAAATTAAAAAAGAAAAGAAAAATCAAAATTTTTTTTACAGGGAACGACTAGTGAAGAGATTAAGACCAAGTTAGAATAAGAGACTGGACAAGCTTTTTCTGTATACAGAGTTCGGGGTTGTATTGACGAATTGCCAGCGCCTCCGCCATACACAAAAGCCGAAACCTGATGCCCTTTGTACCATTTGGCCTCACCTTGTAGATGATCTTGAAAGACAACTGTGGTGGAGCTACGTGGCTTGAGTTCACCAAGTGCTCGAGAATTGAGCTAGTAACTGTCTTGCATTGTCCTTTTGCTAACCATGCCGGATAATGTTCAGAGATGCGTTTGGAAAGTGTGCGCTTTGTGCGGCCAATATAACTAGCTCCACACGAGCAGGTGAATTTATAAGCACACATTGAAGTGGCCCAAAGCGGCAGTTTATCCTTCACACATCCGTTGATCATTTGTCGGCTGTAGAAATTGATACGTAGCTCAGCTGCAAAGAAGGCTTTCCTCAGTGATCTGCATAAGCGATTCTTCAGGATATCAGCTGTGGTATCACTTTCAAATTCGACGCTCATAAATAACAGTTTCTTCGGCACCGTCTGGGTTCGTTCAGGCTTTTCCCTTAACTTCACGTTTGTTTTTTCGATGAGTCTTGGAGGATATCCATTCTCTATGAGGACTTGTCTGAGTCGCTCCAATTCCCCATCGATTGTATCATTGGAACATATCCTTCTTATTCTTAAGGATAAGGAGTGGATCAGGTTCCTGCTTCTTCTCAAAGGGACCCAACTATTCCGAGGTTCGACCCTTCGCCTAATCTATAATAAGCCCGATAAAGAGGATGGGTTGGGTGTGAGAGACTAGCAGCCCCACCCCATAAAGCAAAACATAAGTGCTACCGAAACTTCAAAGCTCTCTAGCTTGAAGCCCAATGTTCTATTGGGAACGCAAAAGAATAATCACTATCCTTGTATGCCTTAACTATATGTGATGTAGGTTTTCTTAATCTCTACTAAAAAGAAACTGATTGTTTTTCTTTTCTTTTCTCTTTTTTTACAGGCTTAGCCTTGAGTCAGTGTGATCCAAAAATTGTTGGAAAGTGGAAAAAGTATTCAGAATTCAAACAGTGCTGTTATGAATCTTACGTAAGCGGTAGTATTATTTATACATACATGCATCATCGAAAGGATAAACTGTTACCCCCCCTGTTATCTTCCTTCTTGAATGATGATATTCCCAGTATTGGCTGATAATATTGCATAATTTAATAATGTCTCTTGACAACTACTGTAGGTCTAGTTCTGTGATTTATGAAACCAGTTAACTAGTGTTCTTAAAATACTCTATTCACTGTGATATTTGTATAACTTGCTCTTATGTTCAATAATGTTCCCTTTAGTATTCATATGTCCTCAGTGAGAGTTGTAAATTAGTCAAGTCTTGTGCAGTGAAAACTCTGAAGCGGTACATAACTTCATTTTTATATTGGGATTGAGAGCGAGACAGGCAGACTTTCTTATCATCAATGTTTTCGAACTGTGTTATACGTGGTGTGCTATTAGATGGTTGGAGGCAGTCGGCCACAGGAAGTCTTGCTTGACCTACGTTTCGTGCTAGTTGGCACTCTTCAGCAAGGCGTATCTGCAACCTTGAAGGAACTGATGTCCCTTCTGATATTCGAACCTGCGTCACCCAGTGCAATGCTGCAGTCAGAGACGTTACCACTGAGCTATTCAGGTTCGCGACTGACCTCCTGTAGGAGTGTGTATTGGATATTTTTGATTGGACACTAGTCAGTAACTAGTGTAATGTGTGTGTCTAGTCCTGTCTCCTCTGCAGACTGAATTCTATCAGTCAAGCTTGTAATGTGGTCACCACTCTAGGTGGCTGGCTCGCCATCATGGTGCACTGTGAATTGTCGGTATTAGATGGTTGGAGGCAATTGGCCACAGGAAGCCTTGGATCTAGGTTTCGTTCTAGTTCGCACTCATCAGTAAGGCGTATCTGCAACCTCCTTGAAGTGTACTATAATGGTTGTCATAATAGTCGAAGGAGAATAAAGATGTTTGGGATCCTTACCCATTAAACAATATTTTGAATCAAACGAGAAGGGTGGGGGAAAGACTCACTGAAACTGCTTATTGTCTGAAACAAATTTATCAAATATAAAACTTATTCTATACGTTCATTTAGATTTCAGAGAGAAAGAGAGAGCTATTGAGTAAGGCGAAGTGGTACATACATTTATTGTGATAAAAACTGTAAGGGGACTGCATTTTGTTGATTTTGAGACTTTGTTTCCGACCAGTTGGTTGTGTGGGCTAGCAGTCGAACTGTGACCTGAACATTTGATTCAGAGTTAGCGAGTTGCAGGTTTGAACCCCGCCTCACCTTTTTATTATCCCTTTACGTTCCCAGTAGAACATAGGACACCATCAAGCTAGAGCTTTGAAGATTCAGTAGCAGTGGTATTTATTTTTACAGGATGAAGTGGGTATCCTCATGACTAACCTTCCCTCTTTACCATTCGTATTATTGACTTAGCAAGGTAAAGGAGTGCGTCGGCTGGGGATTGAACCTCGAGTCACCTGCGTAGTTTGCGAGCATTCTACCGCTGTGCCACCGCCTCACCTACCTGGCATCAATCCATGAAGTACTCTTGACTACTGGTTTGAGGCACTTGGGGGAGATATAGACTCCTTGGCTGAGGTCGCTGGGACACTAAGAATTAATGGCTGAGAATCGTCCACACCAGTACAGATGCATTCTCTCTTTAAGAATTCATAGATCCACTAAATCGTCGATATAAAGATAAAACTTGGGCACTGTGGTAGAGTATAATTCTATTATCGATAAAATCTTACTTTGATAAAGTCAGACAGTGTTTTACAATAATATTTACTGATGATGACGGCGAAACTAATGATGATAACATAAATAAGAATATAGGGTATCTACAGTTTTACCATATAAAGAGGGGGCATTTGAAACTCTACGTAGGATTCCTGAAGCAGGTATTAGGGTGGCATTCAAACCTACAAACTCACTCAGTTAGGACAAGCTCTGTATGTTAAAGAACCCTGTAGGTTGACCCAATTAAACAAAATAATATAATTTACAAAATACCTTGCAATGACTGTGAGTTAAGTCAACTACATCGATCAAACTAGTACATCAGAGGTAGTAAGATTATTAGAATATAAGAATTCAGCTAAGTGTAGAATGATTGACCCTACACGCGAAGATAAGTAATTTAGAAAAAAGCTCAGCAATCACACTGCATGCATGCATTAACACACAATCACACAAAAGGGTGGGTGGGAGAGAGTCAGAATTCTAAAAAGTAATATAGGTAGGTGGTGATAGGGAGAGATTGATTACTGAATCCTGCCTGGTTCATCGACTCTACACCCAACACATACAACAGAAATGACTCAATGCAAATACCAGAGATATGAAAGATATTATTACCACCAGTCAAATCAGAGTAGGATAATAAATAATGTTAAAATGTATTCAATTCACATGTATTATAAAATTTAACAAGTTATTTTATTGTATCTTTATTGTATTTGATTGATAGCACTAATATTGTTTCTGAATGTACTTCATCTTATACTGATTTTATTCAAATAGCCAATCATCAATTCTTACTCATGTATATACACGATGAAGCAAGAAATTTATGTGACTAGTGCCTTGATATGATGGCAGAAATAAATTGTGCTCGAAACGTCGTCGTCAGTAAATATTACTGTATAACAAACACTGTGTGCCATTAAATCGTCATGATTATATCAGTTTATTACAGTCCCTTTTGAGTTTTTTTTCCGCCTACTTCTGTGTACTCTATGAAGTGTGTGTGAAGTGTGTTGCACTTTTGTGCAAAGTTCAACTTTGAAAACTCAGTCAGTAGTCAGCATCAGGTCACTGTGTTGGATCATCACACCCTGTACTAAACACTCTTTAATTCTTGTTTTTGTTATATATCAACTATTTTAGTGTGAATAACTGTTTTCTAATCCCTGTGCTCTTCAACTGTGTTCACGCCTACTTTGCTAGATACATCGATTAAGCGCTTTTCTTTATTATTTCTACTAAAGGCCTACGTTTATTATGGTGAAGATTTGTTAGAGAAAGAAAAAGCTGGACAAGCTGTAGCTGTACTCAAAGAGGCATCTGTTCGTAAGTTAATATATATATATATATATATTCACACTTAACTGGATACTCATTTCTATTTGGTGTATCACTCTGGTGTCTCTTCCAGTGTTATATAACTGTTGGAAAAAAAGAACGTTAAAAAGAGAAAGTATATTGTAGAAATTTGATGTCTGTAGAGTTTATCCCAGACAGATAATAGTCTGTTTATTGACCCAGGTGAAAAGGCGCCAAACAGACCGAGGAAAATGTGCATAGTATTGTGATGAGTGCTACGGATAAGGAACACGTTCAAGTTGTGTTTAATGCGAAAAATGTTACACAAGCAAGTGATCACGTTATGAAGATACTCGTAAAAGAAATGAGTCAGCAGAACTTCATGTGATCTTGAAAGTATAGGGAGGTGGCTGTTACTTCCCTACTGCCCACACCGTGGAAGTTGGTTTTTTCTTGGAGTGACCGCAGAACCTATGGGTCAGCTGCTTGAGGCCGGTTAAACACCGCAGCCTGTTTTAAATTATCTTTGGAATTGCACCTGTATTAAGATCTTACTGTCCGCTACAGACTGCCACAAGGTAAGTCGGGATGTTCAATTTCCAGGGTCAAGCAACCTGGCATGGTAGGCATCTGTGGGTAACACTTTACTGCTGTTGCATCCCTATTCCCCAGCGGCAGTACGACGTTGCCCACAGACCCCCAACATAGTGGCGAGGGGGAGTCCAGTCAGTGTAGCTGCTTGGGCCATTGTGATATACAAACCTGACCACTACGTGAATGAATGTGTAGCCGCTACCAGTTGGGCAAGAGGAACATTGGAGATTGGTTAACAAAGTAAAAAGCAGAAACGTTAAAGTGAAAATTGGTTATAAGTAAAGAACAAATATTCTTTTGAGTGTTTTTGTCCCTCTCTCTCAATGAGATCTACTGACGTCAAATTTTCATAATCCTTTCCTTTTCCATAGCATATGAAAAGGCACTTCGTGCTGCACGTGAATATGTAAAGGTAGAAGGTGTAAGTCTGTCAACTAAACCTCCTGACCACTGCTTCTTTCGTCGTCTCCCTGGATTAATTGAACGGACACGTAATAAATGTGATCGTGAAAATGGTCTGATGTAAGTTATCGTTTGGAGATTTTTGAGGAAAAATTAATTCTTATTGGGAATTCTTCCTTTTCCCCCCCTCTCTCTCTCGTATATGTGTACTTCTTACAAAACTAGTTATAGATTTTCTGAGTTTCATGTCTCTAATTTCTTATGAACACCTTACTCACAATTGAGTATCGTTCATCCTTAGCCATGAATTCGCATAACGTGTTTCCTCTTCTTCAACTTTTTTTTCCTTCACGTTCCCCAGTGGAACATAGGGCTTCAAGCTAGTGGCTTGAAGTTTCTGTAGCAGTGGTGATTATTTTTACAGGGGGGGGGTCGCTAACCAGCCTCATGACCAACCTTTCCTCTTTATCAGCATTATTTGTGGCTTTGCGAGGTAAAGGAGTGCGTCTGTGGCCGGGGATCGAGCCCCGGACCATGTGCATGGTCGGCGAGCGTCCTAACCGTTATACCACCGACGCAACTTACGCGTATGTTATTTGCGTTACTAGTCAAAGTTTATGTGTTCAAGTTCAACTACCTGGAACAGATTTTCTATGCACAAGGTTCAGAGCCTGTTATGACGTCACCACTTTATATTTCTCAATAACATTGAGAGTGAGGTAGGAACGCGGAGTTGGAGACGTACACGCTGATCATGAATACCGCTTTACTATGCCAACAGCGTTATACGACAGTCACCTGTTCCCCACAGCCCGATCTACTCAGGCGAGAACACATAACGACATGAGTCGAAAAGTCTACTTCTCGGCCGCAGTATATTTTAAACAATAATGTGTGATTCAAAATAGATCACCAGTAAGATCAGTAAGTCTGTAATCATGATCAATAAAATAGTGGGCGTTATTTTATGTAGGCCGCTGCTGATTGGTTTATTTCCTAACTGACCTTGACTACCGTATCACCAATAAAAAATAACCTATTGTTTATATGTCTATATATCAGAGCCACAGTTTTCATGTGAGGGTTGGTGATACTTACTACCTAGGCCGAAGTAGGTTGAGAGGGATTCTAACCCGTGTTCCATCGGCTGAAAATCGAGTGCTTACGCCAGTGAGCCACGCCTTCACCTATTCTTTGTAAAAGGTCTGTCAACAAAGTTATTCAAATAATGGTTTTTGTATACACGAATAGGGAGTTTAACCAAGTTATTCAAAATTCTCAGAATGAATCGAATTTTGTGCCTTGTCTTGAAGATGATATTTTAATTCAGCAAAGTTTTAGAGGGGTAAAATTAGGCGATCTTTGGAAATCATAGTTTTCCTGAAAAATTGTTTTGTGCTTTTCAAACGCAGAAGTTCTTCTAGTGAATTATATTGTTATTTCGCTTTATTCAGTTATCTTTGCTACTTTAGGTTCCTTCATGGTTGATTTATCGTATCTTTATTTTTGAGATTCAGTTTCTTCAACTGTTTTTCACATAAATCAGTTAGTTAAGCCCCCCCCCCGTCCCGGTAACGTATTATGAGTCACACATGTGTGAGGGCCGATGATGCCGCCCAGTTCATTATATTATTATTATTATTATTATTGTTCCTTTGGGTTTCGAGTGTGACATAGGTCTCCGACAGCACGTCTCCATGGCATCCTGATTTTGCATTCCTCTTTAGCTGGTTTCACGATGCTCACCTCGTTATTTTCTATTCGGGTTCCACACAAGTGATTGCTTGGCGCTCGATGTCACCCAATGATTCCCTCAGCATGCTTCCGACTCATTTCTGTTTTCTTTTGCATATTTGATGGGGGCTAGGTTGTTGGATAGTTCTTTCCCAGAGTTCGTTACTTCTAAATTCTATCTGGTCTCTTCAATATGGAGCTAGCGAAGGTGGCAGCTTTTGATATAATAGTCTGCAGTGGCCTGTTGGAAATGCTTTCCGTGAAGCACTGGCCAAGTTTCTGACCCGTATAGAAGAACTGACTGACTGGCTTAACAGTGGCGTTGAAAATCCAAATTTTGTCCTTTATGCGGAGTACGAACTGATTTCAGAGTGATGAAGTCCTGTCTTGTCTTTCCGATTCTGATTTTGACATCGTCATCGGTTCCGCCTATAGTTGAAAATATGCTGCCTACATAAGTGAAATAAGCGACCTCCTTTGAATGCCTTCAGTTGATAGCGATGGGTGCTTGTTGTTGTTGGTTGGTTGGTTGTGTTCATCAGCTCCATCTTCCCTATGTTCTCTTGGAGTCCTGTCTTGACTGCCTCTTCTGTCTGTCTGTCTGTTTTCAACATAGAACTTTGCACCGATGTGTAGCAGTCCACGTAGCACACAACGCAAGAGAAGAAAGTAGGAGAAATGCATATTAGAGACAGCAAACAGAGGTGTGAGACAAAGGAATAGTAATAATGAAAAACAATATAGTTTCATTGGAAATCGTAAGTCACAAGGAGTGGATGCACCAGCCATTGAGGACGATTACTTTGAGCCATATCACCGATTGTCTTCAGCCATTGTTGTGTACCGTCCTTAGGACCCCAACCAGGAAGTCTACATCTTCCTACGTGGCTTAAACTAACTGTTGTAGATTTCATTGACTGGTGCCATGTTTTGATTTGACCGCCGCTGCCTCTTCTGCCAGTTTGTTGGTCTTCCCCTGTAGGTTTTCAATTTTATGGGACATTCGACACAAATCATCCGTGGAGTACAGATCTTCTACAGCCTTCTTATTGGCTCAACGCATTCTACCCAGTTGTTCAGGCTTATTTAAATGGAGTGGGATTCGAGCCTGGATCCCACTTGCTGGAGGTGGAGTGCTTTATCTCCAGTGAACCATATCTCCATATTCACATAATCTAAGATATACTGAATAGCCTTTAATTTGAAATGATTGTCTTTTATTTCTAATAAGTAACTTATGCACAATATCACTATGGTATTGATTTTAATGCAGAAATGAGCATGTGTTCTAATAATGAAACAAACAAATAAATAAATCAATTAATTAATTTTTAAATCTCTGAGTTTCTTTTATTTAATAATAATTATACAGAGTATTATTTCGAAGTCTTTAAAAATTAATTGCCTTGATGTATTAAGGTCAGAGTAATAACAGTATTATTATAATAATAACAATAATTACAGGATTTTCATCATGAGCTGACATTAGTTAGAGAACCACTAGAAAACCTGCAGGGAGTACTGGACAGCTGTTTCGTCCTAGTCTGGGACTCTTCATCAGTACGCACCCACCGGGATTCGAACCCAGGACCTTCTGGTTACAAGGCGAGCTCGCATACCATTAAGCCACTGGGACCCGATCCAATGGCCAACACATGAATTCTAACTTCTGCCAATTCACGACATAGCCAATGTCTTCGGCGAGTATTTATCCTCACACCCGAACTGCTGCACCCTACCGAAGACATTTGCTAGGGGTCGCGCTATGTCGTGAATTGGCAGAAGTTAGAATTCATGTGTTGGCCATTGGATCGGGTGCCAATGGCTTAATGGTATGCGAGCTCGCCTTGTAACCAGAAGGTCCTGGGTTCGAATCCCGGTGGGTGCGTACTGATGAAGAGTCCCAAACTGGGACGAAACAGCTGTCCAGTACTCCCTGCAGGTTTTCTAGTGGTTCTCTAACTAATGTCAGCTCATGATGAAAATCCGATAACCAATCAAATCCCTACAAACCAACACTTGAATAACAATAATTGTCGGAAATTTCACTAATTTCTTTCCTTGCACAGAGCTGATTCACATATTTTCTTCTCTCTCTCTCTCTATCATGATAATCTAGGGATTTGATTGATTGGTTACTGGATTTCATCATAAACCGACATCAGTTAGAGAGAATCATTGGAAAATCACCAGGGATTAATGGACTGGACAGCTGTTTCGTCCTATGTCGTGAATTGACAGAAGTTGGAATTCATGAACTGGCCATTGGATCGAGTCCCAGTGGCTTGTGATGGTCTACGAGGTCGCCAGCCTTGTAACCAGAAGGTCCTATTTTCGAACCCTGGCGGTGGTGGGTGCGTACTGCTGAAGAGTCTCAAACTAGGCTGACGAAACAGCTTTCCAGTACTCCTCCAAGCTGGTTTTCCAATGGTTCTCTCACCGATGTCAGCTGATGATGAAATCCAGTAATCAAATTACAACAAAGTTAAACTTTCAGCAACAGTAAGTTACCAACGAGCAAATGACATTGAACTCACCAGCCACATGATAAAGGCGATTTTTGTGTGTATGAAATCCATGCATTCATGAAAATAATGATTTAAGAGGATACCTTTCTCTGACATGTAACAGAAATACCTCTCACTTTTGGATTGAAGTGTCAACAGAGTAATTTAACCAGATTCTGTGCATGTGTAGTTATCTAGTTTTCTAACCCCCTAACACAATAGCCGTAATCTTTCCTTAATCTAACCCCTAACGTGAAAATATCCCGATTATTATTATTATTTCCTTTAATTCCTAGAGGAACATAGGGCTTCAGCCGCGCGTCTCCATTGCGTTCAGATCTCTGCTAGAGTTTTCATCTGGCTTCAAGTCTGCTCACATGCTTTCATTTCCTCTTCAAATGACCTCCCCCGTGTCACCCTCACACTGACGACCAACTCGCCGCTTCCCTTTCGGGTTCCACTCGACCAATTGCATGTCTAGTGATGTCACTTGACGGTTTGTTTCCTCAGAGTATAGCCAATCAGTCCACCTCCATTTCTTCCTGCCTATTTGTTGCACAATCGGTTCCTGGTTGGTTTGCTCCCACAGGTCCCTATTGCTGATCTTTTTTGGCCATCTGATCTTGAGTATTGAGCAAAGACAGCTGTTGATGAAGGTTTGTAGTTTGTTTGAGGTGCTCTTTATGACGCGTAATGCAAGTCTCTGATCCGTATAGTAACACTGACTGGCTTCACATTGGAGTTGAAAATCCGGATCTTATTTTTGATGCTGAGTGTTGTTGACCTCCACACAGACTTGAGAGTAATGAAATCTTGTCTTGCTTTTCCGATCCTTGCTTTTATATCGTCATCACTTCCGTCTGCCTGTAGTTGAAACGATGCTTCTCAGGTAGGTGAAGGAGATTAATTCTTTCAGGTTCCTTCCATTTATGTTGATTGTTATCTGTTGTTGTTATTGTTGGTGTTGACCAGGAATCTTCAATTACTACGCTACATTCACTTAGCTACATAAAACTCTTATTTCTGTGAAATTTCTTGCCAAGAAGTTGCAAAAATTATTGTAATTATTTGCCTTTCAAACACTGAATCTGTGGATATAATCTTGTCGACTGATAATACCTATAACTATCTGCTTGACACTTTGTGTCTGTCTAACACTAACTAATATCTATAATTGTATATATTGATGGATTTACATGTTCATCTTGGCTCAAGTCAGTGAGTCTATGATTTTGGTATCATTTTTGTTAACTTTATCTGACTGTGATACTACTGCTTACGTTTTTATTTTTTATTTTTGTTGTCGCTTGTTTCTCTTCCTGTTGTGAATTATTTTCCTTTGCTGGTGTTGTTCTGTTTGTTTTATTCCTTGTTTTCCTGGTTTTAAGAGGAGCAACCCACAAGGTCGCTTCTCTGTAAACTATATTTTAATGTAACAATCCCCTTCCCAGGGCGTGATGCTAGCAACCCCACCCTGTAAACAAATTTGCTACAGAAACTTCAGCACGATGAAAATATCCCGAAACTAACCGTAATCTGTCTAACTCAAACCAACCCTAATGTCGCCTTCATCAGGTTAACCTAACCTTAGCCCTAAACCTTAACTTAATCTTTTCCAAACCTTATCTGAAACTGGCCGGCTATCCCATTTAATAATACAACACCTCATTAAGCATGTTTTATTCATGATTACAGTATTATTCACCAGGTTTTACATACTTGTCTACTGCGAGCTTCAAGGTCATTTGTGCGTCGCACTCCATTGGTATTTACTGGTGCTTAAAGTTTAACTTGGCCCAAATTATTGGATTTGAGTAGTTTTTTACAGTGAATAAAATAAATAATGTCTCTGGACAGTTTTTTGCCCTTGTATGAGACTCTTCAGCGGTCCACATCCATAACTCAATGGGAAACTGTGCCCAGGACCTTCAGGCTACTCGATGAACTCGTATACCATTCAGCCATGTTTTCTTTTCAATAGATGTATCCGTACACAGGTTGGATACTTGATGGTATCATCATAAGTTGTCATGAATAAATGATAATTTTTGTTTTAATTTGAAGTGGTTATCTCCAACTATTTTTTGTGAGTTAGAACTATTGATTGGGACCTATTCGTTGATGAAATGTCAGATGTTACTGTCTCTAATATCACCTACTATCTCAAGTTCTGCTGGGATATTATTTTCTGCCCTACTGAATGAAACACTGTGTTACGAGATCTGATAGGATCTCTTCTCCACAACCAAGAGCTGATTGATTGCTCAACAAATCTATAGGAAGAAATGGAGATGTATCGATGGTACGTTGAGGAGGCCGTCGAATGGCATCGTGCGCAATGCAGACCATTGCTCGAGTGGAATCCCAATGGGAAGCGATGAGTGGGTCGTCAGTGCGAGGGTGATATGCAGGAGGTCGTGTGAGTTCGTGGAGGAGGAGGAGATGGAAGATTATGGGCAATCGTGGACCCAGCTGAAGAGGACGGCAGAAAATAGAACAATGTGGGAAGATGTGTTCTTGAAGCCCCCTTTATATGTTCCACTAGAAACCCAAGGGAATATTAATACCACTAATAATAAATATTTCACTATTCTTTTTCATTCCATCAATTATCTTATATTTCTAGTAATAAGAAAAAAATGATAAACTCACAATGCCGTTTTCCCTAAACAAAGAATTCCTCTCTCTCTCTCTTTTGCATTTTTACTTTATAGATTTCATCAAAAAGTTCCCACAGTTGCTCCATATTTAGAAATAAAAGCTGAATATGGTATTGCAACACCGAAAGAACCAGAATTGGATTTCAGTTTAGATTCACGATGGAAAGATGTTTATATTGGATTCGATATGAACAAACTTGCCGATAATATAGTATCAGGATCTGTAAGTTAAATTTTTCCCTCTAAATTTATATGCATATTAAGCTTTTGGAAGTATCCACCCCACCACACCCCCAACCTAATTAATACACACTTAGATATTCTGTTTTTTGTCTGCTTTGTGTGTTTTTTTATTATCAAGATTTTGTACTCCACTTTCTAATGGGGACAGCAGGGAATGTCTGAGAAAATCCATCGACTACGCTGCTGATTAGATCTAAATAGAACCGAGTATTTTCACTTTCAGAATAGAACATTCTATTTCTAAGTGAAACGTACGGCTTCATCAGCAAATGCCCACTGCACTTTGTTCTCTTTTTTTCGTTCTCACACGATATCCTTCATGTTACTGTCTGATGCCGCCAAATCGTCGTTCCCCATTTTTAGGTTCCACTTGTCAGGCGTGTGTGATGTCACTCATGGGTGTGTCCTCAGCGCGTATCTCCAGTCCATTTCTTACTACTATGTATTTGTTGTTCGATGAGTTCTTTGTTGGTACATTGCCAGAGTTTCTTGTTACCTCTTCTTTCTGGTTATCTTCCGGGGAAGTATCGTTAACCCCACAACCAAACGTCTCTCTATTTTCGGACTTAGGAGTGGCTAGTACAGTGTTATAGTATAATCTATACTGATAACCTTTCAAGCACACAGTTAATCAGTCATAGCGATAACAAAGCGCGTACACTATAAGCTGCAATAAACCAGTCCAGAAATGTTATCAGTTAAAAAATGTATTCATTCTTGAAATGATACCCTATCCACAATAACCAAGTTCTTTTCTTTTACTAGGTAATATTTCCAGCTGTAATTAATGGTCAAATCCATGAATATATATATGTACGATTGCTTAATTCTTTTTACTGTGTTCAAATGTTGCTTTGCATGGAGGGATTTGATTGGTTACAGGATTTCATCATGAGCTGACATTGGTGAGAAGAGAACCATTGGAAAATCAGCTAGAAGTACTGGACAGCCAGCTGTTTCATCCTAGCGTTTGAGATTTTTCAACAGTACACACCCACCGGGGTTCGAACACAGGACCTTCGAGCTACAAGACCACTGGAACCCGGTCCAACAGCCAACCCATGAATTCCAACTTCTGCAAATTCATGATATGGCGCGACTACTTGATAATTGATCTGATGCTCACTAGCAACTGGCCCTATTCAGGCAGTTAACCTGGAGTTCTATTGGGGAAAGCCGTGACTACTAGGGTACTACAGCAGGTCGGAGGTGAAGGCAGTTACTCATCGAAGAAGACATCGCGAAGTGGTTGCGTTATGTCATGAATTGGCAGAAGTTAGAATTCATACACTGGCCATTGGATCAGGTCCCAGTGGCTTAAAATGTTTATCATCAAAATGCTTTCTAGTAGCAGATTATTTCGATTGAACAATAAGTTAGAAAAATATCCTTCTGAATGTTCTGTGGAAACAGTTGTTGAATCACGGATTGATATGGGTTAAAGAACCATCAAAAACCAGGGAGTGGGTAGGAGGCAGTCGTTTCTTCTTAGTCTGGGACTCTTCATCACTGTAGGCACTTATCACCCAACCGATGATATCATCCAGGACCGTCAGGTTACGAGGCCAATCTGTTAGGCATTCAGATACTTGAAAAGCAGTGGCTGAGTTCTAACTTCTATGGATTTACAATTTACAGCATCACTGTCAGCCAAATCTCAATCATTGAGTAGTTGTCCCAACACTACCGCTGGTTGGTAGTCACGTTCATTACATTACATTCTGTCTCACTTCGCAACTTTCTGTTATGGCATAGTAACTACAATCTGTCTGTCTGGATTCAACATAGAACTTGGCACCGAAGTGCAGCAGTTCGAGTTGCCACGTTCCAAATAGCACACAAAGGTAGACAAGAAGATGAGTGGTGAAGAGAATCAATGGAGTTTTGACAAGTATAAGAGTGAAACAGAATGATTAATGGTAGAAAGGACATCTATGATCAAAAACAGTCAACCTTTTAATGTCTTAAACTCGTATTAGCGATGTTTCAGAGCCATAGAGAAGGACGGAGCGAACTGCTGAGCAGTACACACGTCCCTTGGTTGATAGTCGGATGTCACGCCTACGCCAGAGATGGTGTAAGTTAGCGAAAGCAGCTCGAGTTTTTCGGATCCGTGCTGAGATTTCATCACTAATCAATCCGTTGGTGCTGATACAACTTCCCAAATAGGTGAAGTGGTCAACATGTTCTATCATTTCACTCCCTATCACTAAGCTAGGAGTTGACGTAGTCCAGTTCTGTAGCAGCATCTTACATTTCACAGGGGTGAATCATATGCCAAACACACGAAGATTGCTGCTCAAGGTGTTCACAAGACTCTGCATTTTGTCAGCGTCCTCCCCTAACAGGACTATGTCGTCTGCGTATTCTAAGTCTATAAGACTATTCCCTGGTAACAAGTCGATTCCTAAGTCGTTAAGTTCAGTTAAGGATACTTCTATTAGCATATCTATGATGAAGTTAAACAGAAATGGGGAAAGTGGACATCCTTGACGGACACCACTGGTCGTTATCGATTCAGATGACAATTCCCCATAAGCCTTTACATGGCTACGTGAGTTTGAGTAGAGTGCCTTGATTAGTGCAATGTACTTTCTTGGCACTCCCTTCACAGTCAAACATTGCCATAGTACCTCTCTATCCACGGAGTCGAAGGCCGCCTTCAAGTCAAGAAATATGACAATTGTTGGACGCCTAAAAGTGTGCCTATGTTCTAGGATCTGTCGGAGAGTGAAGATATGATCTATGCACCCTCTACTTGGCCTAAAGCCTGCTTGATTTTCCCTCTTTTGTTCCTCCCGAGTTCTGCTTAGTCTGTGCATGATTAATGAGTCTAGGATTTTAGAGACTATGTTCGTCAGGCTGATCCCCCTATGATTATCACATGTGGACTTGTCTCTCTTCTTGAATATCGGTCTAATAAGTGACTTCACCCAGTCTGATGGAACCGTCTCTGATTCCCAGACGTTACCTAGTACTTTAGTTAATCTACATACTAGTATATCACCCCCATATTTAAACACCTCCTGAATAATTCCGTCGGGTCCTGCCGCTTTGCCTCGTTTCAGATTACAGATAGCTTCTGTGACCTCACTTACAGACACCAGACCAGTGTCTATATCCCATTCGGGTGTGTGCTGGATGGCGGGGAGGTTCAGTGTGGCTGTAGGCAAGTTAAATTGTTCCTCAAAATGTTCTTTCCAGCGTTCAAGGCGTCTATCCTGAAGTAACTACAATAATCAAAATATGTCGGAAAATTGGGTGAATATGTTTGATTTTGAATATGCAAGATGGTTTACCAAACAAACAATGATTCATTTCTATGCATAGTTTGACTTCTTCAGTTTGTTTTGTGTGTGTGTGTTGTTTTCTCATGAATTTCTTTTTTCTTCAAACTCATAATTTATTGAATAATTATTATCACAGGTGTTAGATATAACCGAGTGACGTAAGTTTTAATTCACTGTGTCGCCTTTTGTTTTCTCTCTCTCAAAACTAAAGTCTATGTAGCACAGTTTGTTTTGTTCATTTGTGCATTCATCAAATGCTTACCAAATTGCTTACCTTTCTCAAATGTCATCTGTCATTATGTGATAACTAGAAGTGAGACGATTCCTGTCTGAGACACATTACTTAGTAGGATTTTCAATAAAGGAGAAATTAGGATGGTATTGAAATCTAGGGTAGGACAAGCTGTGTGGGCTCAAGGATCCTGTAGGTTGACCCAATAATAATATAATTTACAAAATAGTTTGCAATGACTGGGAGTTAAGTCAGCTACATGGGTCGAACAAGTAGATCAGGAGTAGTGAGATTATCAGAACATAAGAATTTGGCTAAGGTTGGAATGATTGACCCTATCCGCGAAGATAAGTAATTTAGAAAAAAGCTCAGCGATTGCACTGAACGCATGCATGCATTAACACACAACCACACAATAGGGTGGGTGGGACAGAGTCACAATTCTAAGAAGTAATATAGGTGAGCGGAGAGAGAGAGATTGATTACTGAATCCTGCCTGATTAATCGAGTCTACTACACCCAAAACATGCAACAGAAATGACTCAATGCAAATACCTGAGATATGGAAGATATTATTACCACCAGTCAAACCAGAATAGGATAATAAATAATGTTAAAATGTATTCAATTCACATTATAACATTCTAACAAATTATTTATTATTTTTACTATGAAAAACATCTTATTTCCCATCTTATTGTATTTTGTTGATAACGCTAATATCATTATTGCCTAATGTACTTTATTTTATATTGATTTCATTCAAATGTTCTGGATATTTAAACTCGAAGTGTACGCTGAAAATGTTGCCCAGTTAGGGCATTGAAGCTTCGCAGGTAAAACTTCCAGCTCAGAGAACACAATTGTATCGAAATCATCCACCTGAGCTACAAATCTTCTCTATCATATTTATTCAAATGTCTAATCGCATCAATTTTTACTGTATGTGTATAAACGAAGCAAGAAAGTTGTGTGTGAGTGGGTGGCTGCCTTGATGTGATGACGATGAGCAATAATAAATTGTGCTCGAAACGTGGTTATCAGTAAATATTACTGTATAAAAAACACTGTGTGTGATTTTATCAAAATAAAATTTTATGCATAATAGAGGTATATAGTGTGATGCGTCTAGTCCTCTCTTTTTGGTGCAGACTGAATTCTATCAGTCAGTCAGGTTTCGCAATGTGGCCACCATTCTAGATGGCTGGCTTGCCATCACAGTGCACATTGATTTGATGATATTAGATGGTTGGAGGCAATCGGCCACAGGAAGCCTTGCTTGACCTAGGTTTCGTGCTAGTTGGCAGTCACCAGTCAGTTAGCAAGGCGTATCTGCAACCCCTTTGAAGGAACTTGTGTCCTTTCTGAGATTCGAACCCGTGTCATCCAATGCAGTGCTGAAGTCAGGGACGTTATATAGTATACTCTACCATATTGCTCAAGTTTTATCTTTATGTCAATAACTTGATTTTATCTATGCTTGTGTATACCCCTAGTTGAAGGAGTTACTGTGGTTTATTTATATACACTAATGTGAAAGAATAGACAGAGAACAAAGAGTACTCTTTTCGATAAATTCATCATCAGGTTCTACAATTATATATACATTATAATGAATGAATGAATTAGTCTTATGAACGACATTAATGTTTAAATAACATCAAATCAATAATATTGATAGATTACAGCTGAACAGCATCAACATAAAATAAAATAAACTGAATGTCAGAAGAATTAGGAAAGGTATTGGTGCAAATTCATGAGTTTATAGTCTCTACTGAGGGCCAGGGCAGTAGTAGGGGCTGGACTTGTTTCTTTTGGACACAGAGCGCTGGTTGTTTGAGGCGAATTGCAGTAGCCTCTGCTGTTTGGAGTAAGCGGTGCTTCGACGATTTTGGTAGTTTGTTAGGTACCCGGTATATTATGGAGAAGGATTCGTCTACGCTGGCTTTGTGACCGGTTTGCACCAGATGGTCTAATATCGAGCTGTTAATACTTTTAACTACACCTTTACTTAGCCATAGTGGGATATGTTCTCGAGCACGAAAAGTCAAGTTCCTAGAGCAACGGCCAACATAACTCGCTCCACAAGCGCAGTTGAATTGATAAATACAATTTGAAGTGGCCAGTCTAGGTACTTCATCTTTCAGTCGAGGTAGCACCATCGGTCTTGTAGAGAATAAGATGTGTAGTTCGCCAGCATTAAAAGTCCTTTGAACTGCTTTTCTTAATTTCTTTGTAATTAACTCACTTGGTTTATCGCCCTTGAATTGTAGTCGTATATAAAGTGGCTTCTTTTTTACAGATAGTGGGTAGTTCTTTTCGGCCTTCTTTGTCATATGTTTCTTGATAAATTTGTCAGGATAACCATTTTCGAAATGTTATTATTATTTCTGTCGGAATTTGTTTTGCTGTGTTGCTCATACTTCCCTCCCTTTTTGAAGAACCACCACCTTTCTGTACAACTTTTATAAATAAGTAACCTCTCCATTGTTTCAAAGTAATAAAAATCCATCATTAATGTCATCTAACACACACACACACCATTATTAATACATCTAAATCATCATTATATAATGCGACTAAAAATTATTTATCTCCGTTAATATTTTCCCTATTTTTCTTTCTTTCTTTCTTCTTTTTTGTATCAGAAAAATTCCAAAGATAATAAACAAGCCAATCCTAAAGATGCACCCGTTGAACCTGTTCGTGAAATGCCTATCTTCAGTACTGACAAAGATCCAAAAAATGATAGCGGTTGTGTTATCGCTTAAGCATATAACACAGTCGCACACACGCACACCCACAAACAAACACACTGACATTAAATTATAAAGATCTACTCTGACTTGTGTACTTTTGAATATATATGTGATAAATAAGATGTGTATGGCTGGGCTTGCTGGTTGGTTAGCTGGCTGGCTATCTGTATGAATGAATTACTGAATGACACCCTACTCTTTTACTTCTATCCTTTCAGATTATTATTATCACTTTCAGTCGAATAAATTTTGTTTTTATTCAACCAGAACAACATCTAGAACACAAGAATTTTCTTTCTTATTTGCTAATTTTTAGTGTGTAATTTTCATCTTTATAAAAAGTTGAAGACAATCATTATTATTATTATTTTTCAACTTACATTGTTCTATTTTGGGTGAGTGGGTGTGTGTGCCTGTTTATTGGAATTCATGTTTCGATGTATCAGTGTATGCTTCCGATATTTCAACAAGCCGGTGACGATTTTGAGTCGTGTTCCATCTATGAAGGCTTGGATTACCAAGGGGAGGGTATGATTTCTTCCACCCTCATACAATAATGATGAACTATATGCATGTTCGGGGTATATGCAGTTGCCAATTCTCAGTATATTTTACTGTCGATCAAAAAACATATGTACTGCACAGCAATTCACTTTGTCCCCTTTCATGATTGTGGGAAATGATTATGGAAAGTGAATGACATGAAAGGCTAACTGTCTTTGAAAACAGGTGTTTGCGTTCTGTCTCCCGTGTTGAGCGGTATACTGCCGTGGACAATATTAAGGTTAGACGAAAGGTGTTAGATGAGGATGGTGAGTGGATCGATGAAGTCGTGAAGGTGAATTGACTAAGATTGCTGGGATACACGTTGTACATGTCCGAGCCCATTACCTTTATAGACTAGCAATGTTAACTGACATGGCGTTTGGTTGGAAAGTATTAAGAGTAGTTAAACTACAACTTGGCATCAGTCTATGGAGTCATTGAAAGTTGATTTGAATCAGCCACATAGGGATTTGTAGGCTGTTTGGTTGGCGTCCTTGGGTAGGTAAGATCCAATGACTTGAAACCATTGTTGATGGCGCAGATGTATTCACTGTCTGTGAATTCCCATACCCACTGAATCCTTATGTTTCTCCCGCGCATACTGGGGGTCTGTTGGCGAAGTCGTACTGCCACTGGGGAACAGGGATGTAACAGCAGTGAGGTGTTCCCCTCAGATGACCAGCATGCCAGCCACCTATGCTGTCTCTCCACTCTGGAGAAAGGGGTTTAGGTAAAGTCGATTCCAACAATTGTACATTCCGACTTACGCCACCTACGGTGGTCCGTAACCGGCGGTAAGTTTACTAATACGGAACTAATCCCAGAAACCAGTTCATACAGGCCATGTGTGACCGGCCTCAAGCAGTTGTCTCCTGGAGTCTGAGGTCACGCAACACAAACCCTCTTTCCGTTCCAGGTACCCGAAGATTCAATCAACTTCCACAGTATGGGCAACAGGGAAGTAACAACCGTCCACACACTTCCAAGAGCACATGAAGCCTTTACTTACTTACTTTTCCTGCTTATCTCTGCTCATTGTAGTTCTGACGAATCTGTTTTCCCCACCGTTGTGTCAAAATGAACTGCCACACTTCTGTACAAAGTTATATGTCGAAACGAAGTCATCAGTCAAACTATCAGCATATAAGTTAATTGACACACACTGACTTTTCTTTTACTTTTGGAGGCTTTACAGTTTTGTTATTTGTGATAAACTAAGTTTCTTCAAAAGTATTCCACAGGAAATTTTAACCGATTTATTTGTAGGATATTTAGTGCATTTTCCATACAGCTTTGTTCGCCTGGTCAGCATGCCTCTACTTCATCTGTTCACTCTGAAAGCGTCTAGCAATCGACTGATTTCTTCCTTTGTAGTATTTATAATACCTCACCTTCTAAAAGGGTCATTGTGTAACAATATCATGCAATAGGAAGATTTGATGGCGTACGTAACGTCGTGAGATAAGTGTTTTGATGAAACGGTAGAGATGGACAGGAAATATGCGATACAAGTTACACGAACTTCAGTTTTTGTG